CTCACCATCAGCATTGCTGTCATGTTCAAATAAACGCTTAGCTTACTCCTTTCTAAATCAATACTTGGCGTTCTCACCTACCGGTCGACCTTAGACACGCCTAACTATTGTCTGTTCTCTGCGACCAGTAAGGCACAGACATACACAAGCCTGTACCAACGCATCATCAGACTTCAAACATGTACCCATGGAAGAGTGATAATCCTCCACCTATCCTATCCGAAGACTTATAGCAATACAATTTATCTGTGTCCATCGTCGGCATATGCCTTGCGAGGTAGCAACTCTCCTTATGCCTTAAGTTAGTCTCGGTCAGAAACAAGTAGCTATTTGAACAAAATTACAACAGGAGATCACCCTTGTCAGTTCTCTAGTATGGGACTCCGCAAATACATCCAAAATGCCTTTCCGATTGGTTCAGCTCCCTACTTCAGCGCTAACGTCACTTGACATTGTGACTACATCCAAGAGTTTTGCTTTCTGTAGCAAAGTTGACAGCTTTACATAGAATTCATCCTCCGCATCATCCGAACTACAGTCAGTCGGTGTGTAGGCGGAGATTATGAATAGGAATCGCCTAGTCTCTCAATCCTTCCTAGTCCCTACAAAACCCATTCAGTCGAACAGCATAGACGACTGTTTACTGGTATCCAGTCGAGAAGAGTACTTTTGGCTCTACAGCTCAATGCTAGGCTACACCAGCGAGTTCATGACAGTTAGCTATTTCGACCCCGAATACTCCAGGTGGATTTTGAAGATTTTCTACAATCGCCTGGTGAAGTCAATTTAATAACCACACTCGGGTCCAGAATTTTCATGAGTGATGCTAGCTGTCCGATTTGGTATACAGGTCGGACGCTGAAAGCTCTTACATCAAGTCGATAGCGGGGTTTTAGGAGACTAGAAATGAAGTTGACAATGGTTGCAGAGTGAGAGGTTGGGTAAAGACGTAAGAAGTTTAATATTAGTATCAGGAGGCGAAGGTGGAGGAGGAGACAGATTTGAGGAGGATAGGTTATATGTGATTGGGTTTTGCGTACCACTGGATGCGTGCGGTCGGTTGACACGTCTCGGCTACCCACGCCGTCGAAAGCTATTTATTCTTAAATTACCTGAAAGAGTAAAAGATTTGTGACCTCAGGGCCCATGGGAGACCTGAGGTCTGTCACACACATCTTATTGTGGAATGTTGTTTTGAGATTTTGTTGTTCTGACGCCGGATAGGAGAATCCCATACCGCCGGCTCCGGAAGACCAGGTGGCAGGGGGTTTATCGTATTTAGGGCTAACCTTTTACGCCGACACCCCCACCCCAGCCGTTCCCATTGAGAAGGCAACATGAATGTGGCACTGCTGGTCATCCAATGGAAACCACTTTACTCCTGTTATATCCCATCCAACTACCAGCAGTACGACTTCGTCCTCAGACCTCCATCAGAATGTAGCAATTTGCACAACAACCGTAACTGCTTTTTATCTTACCACTATCCAACAGACCTTTCTGGCATGGTAGGACCTTGAAGGAACAAGCGTTCCACCAGCATAGCTCGATGGGTCATTGTGATATGCAAGCCCGACCACCATGTCCAGGTAGCTGCTATAGAGCGGGGTTATTCAGTGACGTGATGGACACAAGAAACAGCGTAGAACATCCGACAAAGAATCCGCTTAAGTTACTGCACTTCATGTGAAAACAAAAGAAAACATCAATAGAAACGAGACAATAAGCGAGATTATTGGGGGCAAAAATAAGAGGCTTAATAAAATGCTCGTAATTTTCAAGGAAACCGAGTGCGAGTGCAATTTCACTATCGCTTGATACTTGGTTATGCTATCAAGGATCTTCGACCATATATCCCTACTACCTTAATAACCATCATCAAATGACCTACACTTATCTACTTTTGAGAGCATGTGACTTAATAAACTACTGCAATGTCTTTATCTGATTTATTTAGAGCTTCTTATCAACATGAGTAAAAACCCAGTGTCGGTTATTATAGTTTTAGATAACTGATGAGACTACCGATAGTTGCTATGCTGATGTGGTGATTGGGCGTGCATATCACAATGACCCAACGAGCTGTGCTGGTTGGAACAACTGTTCCTTGAGATATTACTATACCCTAAAGGTTAGTTAGATAGTGGTGGGATTAAAGGAGGTTACTGTAGTAGTGCAAATGACTATGCCGTGATGGAGAATCCGAACATGAAGTCATACTACTAGCTGGATAGGGATGTGACAGCAGTAAGGTCCTCACCACAGACGACCAGAAGTTCATGCTACCTTCTCTACAGAAAGAGGTAGGGGTCGTAAAAGATTGGTCTCAAAAATAGCATACTTTCCTTACCTTATGATCTTTCGGTGCTATCAGCATGGGTTTCCTAGCTGCATTCAAGACAATAGAAGTTAAGTATCAAACTTCTAGAAAAACCCTATATGACCGAGTTCAAGCAGATGACCCTTGGACTCTTGGTTCACGCAAAACCAATCCAGTCTTTTTCAGATAGCTCCAGAAGTAACCTTTCACGATTTGGGCTGCTGAAAACTACGAAACGCTTTAACACCTCTGTCAATAATCAAGACTTCTCAGGCCATTGCCAATCTTCCACTCCAGTGGATCCCAGCTGACAGTCGCCGGTGGGCTGTCCAACTGAATGATGCAGTTGGGACGAGAAAGAATAGTGAAACTCCAAATTGGTTTTTTGTTTCTACTTAATTTATAACACACAGTGATATAGTATTATTTACTCGATGACGTTTCGAGCAAAAATTATTGCTTATAATATCATATCAATGGTTATGAGCAATAATTTATGCTTGAAACGTCATCAAGTAAATAATACTATATCACTGTGTGCTATAAATTAAATGAACAAATCTAATATGGAATTAACTTCTACAATAGTGCCCAAATTTTACACCTATACCCACCGATTGTAGTTTAGATGAAGCGAAAGATAAGTTCTACTGAAGTATCAACTTTCTCCCTGAAAGTCGAAGTGGTTGCTGCAGAGAGTGATTCCAACACACAAGTAGGAAAGGTGAGTCAGGCAGAAAAACAACTTATTGGCACTGTCAAAACTCCAGCTGAACGAACGGATGATGGTGATAGCCTGCTACAGCTGCCCTCAGACAAAGACTTTTTCCTGGCCAGCACAAACCTAAAACATAAAAAGACACTTTCTGACCTAGCGTCCTCCGACTTCACCTTACCGATGGATACAGATAGACCATGTTGCTGACTGTTGGTTTGAGCAGTGTAAGGTGAAGACTACTGGGCTAGGGTCCCCGAAACGTTAAGTCTAGCAACTTTTTGATGTATTCCAAAGTTTGAATATTTTGAATAACCTTAATGTTTAAATTCCCTCCCCTACACCTTTGTCTACTTTGATATCAGTCTTTCATACCCACTCGTTCTTTGTACACCTCTGTGACTTGTGGTAACATGAACTGAAGCACTCCTATGCGACTTCCTACGTTGCTTTTGTGAATGTCTGACTATATGGATAAGAAAAATGGTTACTAAGTGTGGAGAACGTGAGAAGGCTCCAGGTCTTTGATTACCGTTGTCTTTGTAGCATAGACCTTATGTCACGGTGCAGCCACGTCAGTAATTTAGAAGTTCAGCTTGGAGTTTTTGACTAACTGAAGTGTTAGCTCGCGTATGGCAATCAGATATGAACTCCTACTGACTGGTTTAAATCGCTGATTGTCCCAGTCTTCAAAAGAGCGAAATCCCCCGGTGATAACGGCAGAGATATCATCCTGATGATTATTAATTCGAACATTCTGGGCTTCATAATCGCAAAACGCCCAAGTGAAGCCAGCGAACTCCGAACCCGAAGAAGCCGTGCAAAAAAAGTTGAACCAGTCCTGGGGGAGTCAGTGACCGATGAAATCTCAGGAAGGACCAAACAAACCATTGGGTCTTGCTAACTTATTAGATTTATTGCACAGTGTTAAAGTCTGCTGTTTAAAAAGGATTCGGAGTACCGACCGGGTGTTCGTTCCGTTCCACCGGATGACCGTGAAACAACCACTAAGGATGGAGGCCATGATAAGGTCTCAAATCTTCAATGAGAAAACACACGCCTAATCACCAAAAATCTGATACACAATGACAGTACAGGTAAATTTAGGCTGGGAAAATCAAGCGACAGCCAGATTAGGACATCATAAGTTTATGAAGTCTCCGGCTGTTGGTCTGAGTCGTGTAGGGGAATATACATTTTCCCGCTGGCATTCGCGAGACAACCGGAATCAGTGGATGAAGACTCTAGGTGATATGACTCAGAACCAACCTCCGTGGCGCACATGCATACACACACCATCTTCATCTTAATTATCCTACCTAGTTTCATGCTGTTTGACTCCCTCTCTCTTTACGATTTTCCACAACTTCTATTTATTCTCATCCTCATTCCCCCCTTTCATACTCATGCTTTCTTCCTTGATTTGCTGATGCCAGGTGTAACAATTTTGACTGTTACGCATAAATGCCAGGTACGAGGTTGGTACTGACCGACGCAATGAATAGACGAGCCACACTTATATATGTGGCCCGGTCACTCGAACCTCTTTAGTGAAGGCTTGGTTGGGAGTCAAACGTGTATGTCAGTGAGCTACAGCTTAGCTTGTGATAGTGATATCTAGAGGAAACGGAGTACACAGCTAGCGTGCGTCTATAGTAAAGAGTGGCTACGCTCACAAAGAGTTTAACGTATGACTGTCTATAGAAATATTAGGACCGATTAGGTTACAATTGATCTCAGACAAACAATACATAGGCAGATTCAAGAAATAAGATTGAAGGAAGTTAGAATAAATTCAGCTGTCACACATAAATCAATATAATACAATCTGGTCATTTCACATGACTATCAATGAGAAGGTGATGAAATTGAAGGTAGACTGGATGACAAATGGCATTGGACGTTCGATCTCAAAATAATACGCACTTAATATACAAATTCTTCATCATCACAATGATAACTTACTTCTGATGTCATAGACGCCAATTTATCTGGGCTTACGTGACCCATTAGGACATTGAGTCGTAAATTAGGATTGTTAGAGTCACGCAAATTCATGACTCGAGTACGCACTCGTTGTTTGTATTTGGGACCAGTATTGTTGAATAGGTCATAGATGGCGCTTTCTATTCGAATTGCCAGGAACTCACTTTCGTAGGCTCCACTGGGGATGTCTAGAAAATCAAGTTAGTATGGATCTGAAATCTTCACCTACTTCCACTTTCTAGTGCTGACTGAAGCATTTCTCGAGCTTTCAGACGCACTTGATCAGTTGTAGTCAAAGTATGCACAGGAAAGAAACCACGACTTGCGTTTATTGGTGGTTCAGTTGACTCTTTTTTCTCAATTATACGGGGTCGCTTGGCATTTTGTGGACCTCCATCATCCGAACCAACGCAGTTATTCAACTCGGGTGAGTGTTTGCTGTTACTAATGTTAGCATTGCCTCCATTATTATAACTGCCAGCGGTGTTGGTGCAAGGTGTAGGTGCTTCACATTTGTCTAGATAGGAAAGTCATTACAATGTGGAGTACAAGTGAATGTCAAGTTAAAGATAAACAAACCAGCAGTAAAACCAATAAGATTCAGTTTTCTAGTTCCCGGACAATTAAATCAAATCCTAGTAGTAAAAAGAACCATAAAAGCATTGAGGTTTTCGTCAGAAATGAAATGAGCGTTGTGAGAACTCTCAAGGTGAGCAGTTTCAGATGTATCTTCCAAAATGAAAAATTTACCGGATCGTGAATGAAATCTTTAATCAGTATGATTGCAACATCCGACACTGCATTAACAGATAATGAGTATATTGACCCTCATAAATGGCTTTATGTCCTTGAAAGAACGACATCTTCTGAAGATGAAATAAGTTTGACAAGAAATTTCGAAGGTGTAAATAGTCATCTGACGGAAATGCACACAAAAAGCGGCATTTGCTTCAAAATGTTGAAGTCAGTACTATAACTAATACTACAGCACAGCTTAGCAATCAGATAGGGGAGACGAAATAAGGTTCCTCCTCGACTCATTATACAGAACACTCACACTCATTGACACGAACGGATATAAATTAGATGAGGAAAACAAGTGACTAGTATAAGGCAATGTCTCAAGCAAGTAAATTGATTTCATTACCCACTTCATGAGTAAACAAACACCGAGTGCAAGCTATACTCCTTTTATTATTTCCAAAGTCTAACAGATTAAACTTGATGACGTCCATTGGCTACTTCTATCTGTCAACAGTATAGATCGACTTCTGTCACTCGAATCTCTAGGTATTGAGGTTCACTAACTGACAGAAAGAAAGTGAATATAGCCGTAGTACGTCATTACATAGTCATATAATCCATTTATGATTCAACTTGTGAGCCATTGACTCGAAATAAGCCACAAACGTTTACTTTGAGACAACGCTAGCAGATAAGAACGCAACATATTCGTCACCTTGGTACACAGTAAAATATAAGTTTTATTCACTTGCAAAATCTGTGAACTATTTTAGTCACTAGGACTGGAATCATGTAATTCCAAATCTGGTACAAAGTGAATCAGTTCACTAATACAATCCACAGCAGCATGCGAATAAAAAACGAATGGCATAAAATTTGGCAGAAGTATGTGAGGAAAAAGCAAAAATAGATGAGAGTTAATAAAAATGTTCAATTGGAGCTGAGGTTCACCGGGTTTAGGTAATTGATTTACAACCATTGAGTTAAGGGTTTGAGCCCTACTTTACACACCGAGGTTTTGGCAATCAGGTAGTAGTATCCCTAGTCCTCACACACAAGCTGTGGCTCCTAGCGTATAGTAAGGATGTGCACAAGGTTGCTGAGTGCATTTCAAAAATATTTAAGACTTGAAAAATAACAGTGTATGCCTCTACGTTATTGTGACCTAATTATGAAATTCATCATCACTGCCTAAAGTACCAAAATACTCTATGGATCTTCAAACGACCTCAGGTTGATAGCCAAAGTAACCTACTTAAGACAAATAACCTTCAAAGAAAATTTCGAGAAATCCATGAAACGTATAAGCGTAATCTTATTTGATCGTTGAGAACATCGGTATTTAAAAATCTAAACAAGATACTCACATATAGCTCGGAATTTGACATCCACCAGGGATGCCCACTATCACCATCCCAGTTTAGCCTACTTATCAGATGTATTAGTGGACACAAGCTTAAGTAGCTTTAACTTCACAGGGACTTATCTACACCCGGAAGGCATCTGGGTTAACTCGGAGTACACAGATGATATTGTCCTGTAAAGTGACGATGCTGACGAAATGCAGGGTCTGTTCAGTAGATATCTGTATGTTTGGTATGCGTTTCGTATCTGTCAAATATAAGATAATGTTTCATGACTGGTGTACAGCTATTCCCAGTTCGAATTTAAGAAGTGAAGTGGTAAAATAAGTTGGCCACTTACTCATATGAAAAGTGAAATCAACTCAAACACTGGTGGCTGACGAAATCTCAGTTCCGATACAAAAGAAAAGTTAGCATTTGTTCACTTGCATCATCTTTGGTGTGGGCAAGTTATCCAATTACTCATCAAAAAGCGAGTACACTGCATTGCGGTTTGTTGTGTCCCGTTATGTGGCTAAGATATGGCAGTTGAAAGCAGAAGAAATGAAGAGAATATAGGTTTTTGAACATAGATGCTTTTGTAGTATTGTTCGTGTCTGGTGAAATTACAGTGAGTAAAGTCGAGTTTAGGCGAAGGGTACTGGTCAAGAGGTAGTTGTCAGTAAGATTGTGAAGCTCCACCAACTGAAGTGGCTTGCATATGTATTGCACATACTAAGCCACCATTTATCTCCACGCCCAACGCTAGCCGAAGTAGGATTTAGTTCGAAATGTTCAGGATGACCAGATGAAGAGGTGGCACCAGTCCATGGGGTCTGACTGTTGGCCTGAGAAGTGTATGGAGGATTAATTGGACTGCCTGGTTGGGATCCTCGAGATGATAGAAATCAATTGTTCGGAACTCGATGTAGCTGGAAATGGATCACAATCGTCCAGATGCATCCATTCTTTGACGTCTAAAGCTTGGACATTTTCACTGAGCTTCGTTTCTGAAATTTCCTGGCATACTTCTCCTTTTCTGGCCACTTGGTTTTGCATGCTCCTGTGAAGTGTCGCAACTTGAACTGATGAACTTTGATTTCCTGTGTATATATTTTTTGACGTACTTGACGTATCTATAATAATGCATGCTTTGAAAGACCCATTTTGGTGGGGACTGAAACTTTGAGATACACAAAAAAACTACAAAGTTATTAAGGTCCAAAGATATGGTTTTCAACCTGTCACACAACGAGGTATCAGTTGACGTCTAGAAACATAAAAGAGATCGGTTGAAACACGAAGGGTGAACTTCCATTACTATCCTCGAAAAACACTTTTCCCATCACAGAACAGGAGCTTTCTTAAAGTATAAACATATCAGTAAAACAAGCACGTGAACAACAGGACTAATGCAAAAAAGATAACTGTAACGTGACTACACCCTTTAGGTAAATACATTATCGTACTGTGTGCAACATTAGTTTAATATGTGATTCTAAGGATTGGGTATTATGGTTTGCAATCTCTCGATCGCTCTGATACCATTGCCGTACAAGCGTAGAAGCAAACCAAGAAATCCCACCCAGATATTAAGTCAGATTTTGAACCATCTTAATGACCAAATTCTCGTGAGAATATCCGAAGGAATTAATGGGAAAAAAAACCACCCTACTTCAACACTTCGTCTACTACTACATGTTTTTTCACCAACCAACCACCTAGTAATTTAAGAAATAAAACGACCTAGTCACTAAATAACATCAGAACTCATTACAGATATCCGATACAAGTTGGGATTCGATGGTTTGAACCTATTAGTTAGTGGCGAAACTCAGGACACTGCATAACCTTATTAAATAACTCTTTCGGTCCTCACCACCATGCAACTCAGTCTAGTACTAGGATCTGTATTAAATCACATTTTGATGTCATTCTACATGCTTAAGTATTTCCCATGCACCATTAGTGTCACAGAAACCCCAAACAGAAAGTACACACACACACACACACAAAAGGGAAGAAACTAGGGCATAAGAAAACAATTTTGCGAGATCGGATTAGACCTCGGGCTTTTAGATTCTCTAGGGCTGTTTGCAGCATATATATATATATATATATATATATATATATATATATATATATATATATATATATATATAATGAATTTTGTAGTCAGTTTGACCTACCCGGCACCAATTTTTTCCACTGTTTGATTATGTTCTTTCCAAGTGTAGCAACTTCTGGATCCGAAGATTCCTTTCTTATTTTATTGATGATTATCCCTACACCAGTTTTAGTCAAGATATCCAGTGTCATCTCAATGCTTCGCAATCGTCGGAGATACTTTAGTGCAGACTCATCATCCTGCGAAAGTTAGCTGATTAGTGATGTGGAACTTACTATCTTTTTATTTCTAAGCATACGATCAAGTCGACGGGCAATGTGTTCAGTTTCCTCCATTCTGATCCCAAGGTTTAAAACTGTAATAACCGGTTGTAAGTTTTGTTTAGCTTGTGGGTACGTTGCAGCGGGGTGCGCAGAAGTATATATTATTGGTGACCTCGAGGATCTGGAAATAGAAGGAAAGAGAAATTTGACCTGGTGACTGAACAAACACAAAGTCTTGAGAAAGTAATAAGTTGTCGTAGACAGCAAGGAGTATAAGATGTCAACTACAAAGAAAGTGTAGCTGAAGATAAGTTCATTCTTTACGAGGCTTTTCATTTCTTGAAATCTGATATGCTCATACTGTGAAGTGACTGTCATGATTACTAATGGTCTAAACGGAGATTGGGAAAAAAGAAAAAACCCTCTATGCTAAATACTAGTCTCTGACCAAAACTTCCGATTTAACACAGCATAAAATAGTGTCCCATACGACTGTCGTGCACCTCGCAATGTGATGAGCAATTAGATGAGCATGAATCAAGTTTTATTCGCAGAAAACATAGTATAGATTGTGTCGGTCATCACTGCAGGAGCGGTAGATAACTCGGCAAGCACAGAATCGTACTTACATTTGGTATTAAAAGGTAGTCGATAAATGGTAATAATTTAAAAAGAGGAGATGAAGCAGACTGTGAACCAAAGCTGCAGAGTGAGTTGGTAAGGTTTCAAAAGCGCTACAAAACGAAGCTTGAATTGTGCCGCGCAATTCTCAATGTCCAATCACATTTAACTGGACCTTTACGGAATTTGGAAAACGTCTTACCTAAACTAGCTTTAGTGCCTAGACGAAGTGTACCACACGTCGCTCTGCTTTTTCACCAATGTGCAGTATAAATAAACTAAGAAATAGATGGCAGTTAAATAAGAAAAGCTGGTAAGTTACTAATAATTTATTTCCTCAGCTGTTTATTAACTCGTACTCACATCCTAAATGGGCGTCAGATCGACACTAAAACGAAACTGACTGAGTAACTTGAACCACAGTTGCAGGGGGGACTTTCCATGACTTGTCTACAACTTTGTAGGAGTTTTTCATGATGCTGAACTCTCTATTTTCTCGATCGAATTTGTGGACTCTCTGGGACCAGTGTTACAATCCAAGTTGGATAGGTGACCAAATGAGAATAAAGGCGTGGTGAGGATGTTGAATGTTACGTTCCTAATCTCTGGTGTTCCACATGATGAATATCAAGTGACACCAATTGTCGCGGGACTCACACTCATGGGTATTGCATAAGTAGGAAGCGTTGCTGACTGGCCTTTACAACTACCAGGTTTGCGTAAAAAAGATTTCTAGAAATCCGTTTCTCGTGTGCTTTAAGTCTGATTCCTCGGGCAAGCTTCGTCAAACAGCTACGGAAGTGTTAGAGACCAACACTGTAGAATTACCCACTTCCCCAAAATCAATAGCCTAGGGTTCGACGACATTCAACACTGATGCTGACCATGACAGTTTAACTGAAGGCACCCGGTCAAGCATCCCCGCCATTTGGCACGCTGTCGTGTTACGTTGCACTGCTCGTACTCCACTCTCTAGCCAGTTAGTTGGAACGCATCGGTATCTTGGCACAACCACATAAATATACTATTCCATCCGACCACGCTATCGTGCTCTTCTTTGGTCTCGTATTCGTGGGTATATAGCAAGTCCGAATAATTAGTGATTGGTCTTTGCGTCTGTCAAGTTCGCACCAGGACAAATCCTAAAATACCGTCTCCTAATGGTGAGGAATGAGTGTAATCCCAAACTCTAGGTGAGGCCATATGAAACTTTTTGAAACCTAATAGAAACGCCTCTGGCAAAACTTTCAAGGAACTGGTTCAGGGATAGAGCCGTTCTCTAAGTTAGTATTGATAGGGTGCCAAAGAGTAATGACATTTATATTAATCCCTTAATCTCCCGTGAATTAAGAATTCCGTCACATTGGAAGGCAAAGATGAAAATGTCAGTGGCCTGTGTTTCTCTGGACTCTGTTGAACTTAGTTGAAAGTCGATGTTAAAAAACCTAGGTTCCAAAAGCTGCGCGCTGCTCCTTAACTAGGAGAATTTCTAGACAGTTCACATAAAGTTTTATATGAAAGCAATGCCTCTCAAAGCATAACGTCTTTGCAGACTGTGTCGAGTCCCACAAAAGCGGCAACTTGCGGTGCACTCTGTTAACTCCTAGCTCAAAGATCGAAAGTCTTACTTGCTTAGTGAAGTATTTATATATGCCTGATTAGGTGGTTGATAATGAAGTGTTGCCATTACCCAGTCCATTAGACACCATTAGTCGAGAAACTTCTGCTTTGGTATGTCGAAACGACGTGGCACAGCAAAACAAAGTTTGTAGTTAGTAACAAACATATTTTTAATCTTCTGATGCCAGCACCCATCCACTCTCAGCGCTTTCGGACGTGTTTCTTGTCCGCTAAGTTAGGCTGTTTGTGTGTTCGTTCCTACTTCTTTTGCTTTTGGCCGGGTGGTGACTTCTCCACCTGAAAAGCTGACGAGTAGCATCACTCATTACCCCGGGTGACTTGGGGTACTTTTGTGTTGAGTGGAATGCGCTAATCGGTAGCATACATAATTTCGTTAAATACGAACCTCCATTTAGTACTTGCATCTTTCTAAACATGGTTAGCTTCCCAGTCTGTCTCTTCTGGAGTCCACTGGAGCGTCAAGACTTCCACGCACCTAAATTTCCAGCCACTTCTAGGAGAGAAGGTTAGAGTGTGTTTGTTTGGCTAGATGAACTGTCATTGTGTGGAATAAGATTGCCATAATCTTCATAAAAAGCCCAAAATCCATAAGGCTTTCTATAGCCATTTATGTTGCACCGAAACCCCAAGAGAAAACACGTGAACCAACATTTGAATATCGGATTGGTTAAAGAGAGGTAAACCAACAGGATATTCAAGTCTAGAAGGGCCTTGAAATAGCCAGTGCCACTGTTAATATGTGTAAAATCTTTTATTTCGTTTGCATTTTTAACGTTCCGATACACCTTTGTTATACTGCAGCCTTTTCCATTTATCGGGAAAACTGAGCAACCATCGTAGGGTGGAATCTGAAGGTTATGGTTAATGTGTCCGCACACGCTTATAACTTGGATCACATAAAGTAGTCACCACGAGAATATAACAGCTGAGAAAAAGGCTATAAGAAAGACACACTAGAAGTAGATGGCAACGTGATCGTTCACGCTCAGTGAAGGGTGGACTGAAGTTCATCTACACTTTTGGTTTTCTGTCAGCTCAAGCTCATCAGACCGACTGAAAATCGAGCTTCCCTGGGGCCGTTACGTCCAGAAAGCGCACAACCTAGAAATTTGGCCTTGAGGGGAAGTGAATTCCCTTGGGGTTCCAACACTCAACTGTCGGGGTGAAAGTTCGCAGATGGATCCTCATGGTTAGCTTCCGTTACAAAGCTACTATTCTTGAACAGCCCTGTAAAGCACCAGAGTCTCCTCAAGGCGGTCAAAATTCATAAACGGGACCTAGTAAGCCATAAAAATGATTAACGCAAGGTGCTGTCAAACGCTCCAAGCCAGATTCCTTAGCTTTGGCGATAGCTACTTCATGATCGGAAATTTGAGGGGAAACTCATGTTTCAGTAAAGCCATTTATCACTAGTCTCAGGAATCAGTTTTCACAGGCGTTTTGGACTTGTATAAATTAATTTTAGTCTTCCCGTTTAGTGAGGCCTAAATATCCCCCTATCTTACCACATACCCAAGAACCTGCCCGGGTGCCGTTCGAGGAAGGTGCCCCCTTCAAGATTTTCGCTTCTAAGTCCCCTATCAGGTTGAGAGCCCAATTCAGTTTATCCTGTTTCCGTTGTGTCGTTTCGTTTTGTAACCTATCAGAGCGTACTTGAAAGCAGGTGGAAGGCGGCATCTGCGTAATAAAAATCCGCCAGTACAAATGCAGCCCCTGATAGGACAAGAACATAACCAACATTTATCCACGGTGATCATTCACTTTAGGTTTCTGTAAGTCGTTTTCGATGACGGTATCCGGGGATATATTGGGATCCGCTCGAATATTTTTCATACATGGAAGCCACTGCGCCTGTCCACAGGCCACAGATTTTCAATATTTCCCATACTTTCAGATTATTACCCGGAAAGTAAGCCTGGCGGGCGCCACCCGTGAACTTCTTCAGTTTCGTTTGCTCAGTGTGGGATCCGTGGCAGAAATTTTAGATGCCCTTCGTCTGTAGGTACATGAGATGCTAAAAATGTCACTTAAGTTGACTGAGTTGGAGAACATCAGCCTCAAAATTCAGGGCCGCTGCATTTTCCTGTATCAGAACCACTTTAATGTGTAATCACCTCAGCCAGCCTACCATGATCTGGATTCAATTTGCTGCAGATTTTTCACATACAGCCATGTTTTTCTCGATATAAAGGCTACGTGGAACATTGGGACTGCTTATCAGGTTGATAATGATGAGGTCACCTCAGGACGTGATGTGTTGCATCCCATTGCGGCTAGCTTTATGAGGTCGTTATTTTTTGCTTGATTTCCCACCAATTTCGGCCAGAGATGTAAGTCGTCCGCTCACTCGTCAATATTTTCTTCGCAAGGCCACTTACTTTCTTGGAACAACAGCAGCCCAAAACCAACTGTTTTACTTCGGTTGACAGCTATTCATGCCACATCTCTGACTTTTTTCACCGAGTATGACTACTGCATCCCACATCTGGTCGGTTGATAGTGGGATCGTACCATGGTGGCGTAGAAATGTGTATGCCGTGGCACAAGTAAGGTGGACTACGTCTTCAGCAGAGCTAAAATTTTGCTCCTATCACATAAACTGAGTGACATCAACAGCTGCTGGTTTTCGAACCCTGTATTTCCGGCTGACGTGCGCTGATCTCGAATTTCTCAGCTTTAAAATAACTCTCATGCGTTGGTGTGTGAGTATGTTTGATTATGGTTAACGCGGTGAAATCCTGAAGGATATCCTTCCCTTTCCTTTGATGCAAACAGAAGTGTCCTCACCGCTCCGGGCCACCCGTACTTGT